CATATCAACAGCCACTTGATCAACGACCAATATGTACTAATAGGGTACATGGATGAAGTAACAGTCCTACGAACTCAAGTGACTGCGGCAGAGAAAAAGATGTGAGGTTTTTGAACTGCTGGCTGAAGACGTTTGGCTTTCGCAGGCACTACAGTATAACTACCTGAAAGGAAGAAGGCCTCAGCTGCTGAATTATTTATTAGAAAATGCCAACTGATCAGTTACAGACTGTTGGACAGGAGAGCAAAACTTATATGCATCTTGTTTACAAAACTGAATATCCATCTTCTTGAACGCGTCATCCTGAACTTTCCTCGATATTCATTGACTGTTACCCAAATGCAAGCAAATGCTACAAAGTGACTCCGCGAATTCCGTAATAGATCTCACTTTTCAAGAGACGCAAAGTAGAGTTACGAGAAAACATACTCTCCATTAGCAGTACTACCGTTACACCAGTACCGCCTTTATTTAAGTCAGAGCATCTTGATCGTATGGAACATTTTCCGCTAACCTGGAAAGAACACCGTTGTCAGAATTCACTGCAGAAAGTATTATTTGGGCTCCAAAGAAGTACGACGTAGAGGACCAGCCTGCCTATGTATACAAGCTTTTCATTCAGAAATTTGAGCCCGGTTAGTGAAAACTCACTTTCGTTCCTCCTTAATCTACGCCCTTGAATGGCACCGTGATTCCGAAACGGTTAGACACTGGATGTGGGTGGAGTTCAACTGGCCGCTTGACCTCTGCGTTCACATTTGGGAGCAGATATTGGGTTCGCCCAGGTATCGGCTTCCGTTTTGGAGATAACAAGCCAACGGGGACTGTAATGCCGGAACTAAATATTTACATCCTAACCTAACTGATTCGCATAAGATACATTGAAGCCAGTCACAGAAACGTTTGAAATGGTATAGGGAAAGGGATTAGAAAAATTAGGCAAGCTTTAGCCGCAGTCACCCCTCAAACCAAGAGGGGAACATAATAAGAGGAAAATGACAACCATTTTCATCTCGAATATCGACCAGGATAGAACAAAATGTGTAGGATAGTTTAGCAAGTAAGTTGCGGCAACTATAATGAACATGACGGAGATATATTCGTTAACGTTGTTAAATGTGTTCGCCTGCTAACTGCACTGGACAGTCGCGTGCAAACTGAGTCAGGAAGATCTGCTTTAAAGCGATCCGGTTTGTCCATCATAACAGACGCCTCCTGGTACTCAGAACTGACATGTACACCCTCAGGTAAGCCATGTCAATCGATTTCGTATGTGAATGGGATCATTTTCACAAGGCCCTCCATTTGGTAACTACAAGCAAAATATCAAAAGGGGAAAGAAGGAAAGAAACATTTCTGAGGTTCACCTGAGCATCCAGTGCAAACTAATTTAGATTCCAAACAATCCGAAAATGTTCACATTTGATGGTGATCACCTGTTCACTTACGGTAGACATGGAGAAATTCATGACAAAAACCGTGGTGGAAAATGGACGGGAATGGTATTGACCTGACTCTTGTCAACGCATTCACAACTGCTGCAACATTAGGGAGACATTCTGAGCGAAAAGCACATGATAAGGATGGAGCACAAAGCAACATGGACTGCCTTCAGAGCGTGTGCGTATGGATGCGCGCTAGGTATTCTGGCATTTCATCCACAGACACCCCTGTCTGCTGAGTGATGCAGGTAAAAGAAAGGGTTAATTAAAACCTTCACGACAGTAGTAACCCAGACAGTGTAGAATAGTTTCAGTAAACACGTAAGCTGTCATTCATTTCCTAGTTCATCCGTGACAAAAATGAACATATATAAGAGGTTTTCATGTTTTTATTGAGTTTCTTCCTGTGGCGCAAGAGTGTAGAAGATATATTCAGCTTCAAGTTCGTTTGCGGGACATGATTCTTTACGTTTTGATTCAAAGGTTTTCAATACTTAGCCTCTCAAATATCAGGACTGCTGACCAGACGTTGGAAAATGATGTCGTGGTGGGTTTATTTCATTCTAGGAGGTGCTCTGTAGCCCACGAACGAACAAACATTATCTTGACCTGTGTACCGTTCTTATATCATCACAGCATGTTGTATCATCCACCTCGGGACTTATCAGCTGAGCTCAGATAGCTCGATTTCGTCGCTAGCAAATTTCCAACTATCCACAGCTGACATTAGCAATAATTCCTATCAGAAGGTTAGATTCCTGAATGTAACCTCAGATCGCCTGATACCTGCCGCTCCACCAAAATCTCAAAAGGAAAGCCGGCAAGCATCCAGGCCAGTCAATCATTCAATCAATTTAGCAGAAGCTGATGAGTGCTCAGCCACGCCACAGAAGCACGACCGAATGTGATCTGCGTTCATGCATTCCATTGAGGCACGATCGATGTTGATGGGTGTTCAGTAGCACCTATCAGACAGTCTGGATCAATGTCAAAAAGTCCGTTTTAAGTAACGTGGGGCCGTTGTAACTTTTGATATCGCGCTCGCTTGCTCGGAATGTAGCTGTTATGTTCCCTTCTGTGAGTCTTTTTTCCAGCAACTAGGCACTGGAGCAGGTCAGCAGCAGATACCACAGATTTACTAATCAGCAGATATAACACTTCCCTTCAAATCGGTCTAATTGTCTCACACTCGTGTATCAATGGACAGATGGCCAGACTGTTCACTCGAACAACGTAAATATCCACACTTTATTAGCCTTACGGTTACTGTAGGCAGAGGAAAATTTTCTCCGACACTTGAAGAAAATTTATGATTTGTAGTATTCAAAACCCTCCAAAATGAGTGACGTTTTCAATCGTCCTTCACTGTTTTTATCTATTAGAACCTGGAACTCCAACTTCACTGAAGGTGATCTACAACACCCCGAACTCACAAACGTTACAATGGGCATCCCCTGGATACCTGCCACCTTGTGCAAAATATGAGCTGGTCCAGAACAACGCGCAGGATAACATTTCAGTCACCGTGCGCCTGGAAAGAACTATCACTTGTGCGTCTCTCCTTAACTCTGTCACTTTTTCCTGTGCGATGCATTTACAATTGAGCATACAAAACGGTAGGAGATAGACGTCTTACACAATACGATTGGCCGCCTTTTCCATTCTAACAATGACACACACGATAACCTTATCCTTTATGGCATTCTGTTGCTTTTACTAGTCCGGGAATTCACGCAGCTCCTTTTGGTGGTCGTTAGATGCTTTGTTAACCTGGACTTTACGAGTGGTCTGGCTCTGATTGCGAATTTCGAACAGCACCGTCGGCCTAAAACACCAGACCGCTGTCTGAACGTATAGTTTAATACAAGACACGTAGATCACCTTGATTATAACGTCATGATCTTATGTGAAAAAGAATATAAGGTTGTCAAGTCCCATGGGCCAAGACAGATAACTGATTCCGATATGTAACTGTGTTTGTTGAATTGTAGAATTGTTTTTGCTGCACTGTACAGATTTTTCAAATAGGTAACTGTTTCCGAGAAACACACTCATTTGCAAATCAATTTGGTTTTCGCGAGAGACTCAACTGAATCTCTCGTTTGTGATATTCTACAACTGAATGTGGTGCACACAGTTGTAGAATATCACAAACGAAAGATTCACTTGAGCCTCTCGTGAGAACCAAATCGATTTGCAAATGAGTGTGTTTCTTGGAAACAGTCCAATTTATATTCAATTAGAACATAAGGTGGACGGAAACTCGGGGACTGCGCCTACCTGATGAGCCCCAAGAAGGGCGAAACCGGTCGTGGCCTGTCGAAGAGTTTTCAGTAACCTCGTGAATAGTGTCCTTTATGGAAAAGGTATCTGTTTAATATGGAGGCCAATCTCTTGTAAATCACTTCCAACCTCCTTGACATCGATTCAACTTTCCGAGGTTTGTTGAGTGTACATTTGGATCAATTAAGGTATTCATGCGGAATCTTCACCCATTTATTCTTTGTGTGCTTCCGCAGTGCGTTGGAAACAGACCAAACGAGGACAGAGATGAAAACCGTCTACTTGACATATTAGAAAGCCGAATGGCAATTCTGTCTGACATGCTCAAGTACATCTATGTGAATACTTGCAGTCAGTCGGCTGGTATTTCCGCCCACCGAGAAAAGACCTTAGTGATTCCGTGTTTGCTAACTTGTCCGCTTCACTGATTCTTTTGAAGCTTACAAATTTTCCTCATTGGAGTCATCCACAAACTATACGTACAAAATTCGTGCAATCGCCGAAGACGCTCACGGTCCGTTCTCAGCACCAATTTCTCTCTGTTTAATATGGAGGCCATTCTCTTGTAAATCACTTCCAACCTCCTTGACATCGATTCAACTTTCCGAGGTTTGTTGAGTGTACATTTGGATCAATTAAGGTATTCATGCGGAATCTTCACCCATTTATTCTTTGTGTGCTTCCGCAGTGCGTTGGAAACAGACCAAACGAGGACAGAGATGAAAACCGTCTACTTGACATATTAGAAAGCCGAATGGCAATTCTGTCTGACATGCTCAAGTACATCTATGTGAATACTTGCAGTCAGTCGGCTGGTATTTCCGCCCACCGAGAAAAGACCTTAGTGATTCCGTGTTTGCTAACTTGTCCGCTTCACTGATTCTTTTGAAGCTTACAAATTTTCCTCATTGGAGTCATCCACAAACTATACGTACAAAATTCGTGCAATCGCCGAAGACGCTCACGGTCCGTTCTCAGCACCAATTTCTCTATCTACAGACATCTCGGGTAAGTGGGGAAATCTATAAGTACACGCTCTGGCTCATCCTGTGTTGAGAAATGTGCGACTGAAAAACATCGTTCAGCTTCAACATTCTTTCGGTGTCTAGCTGCCATACCGCCTGAAGGAAGCATGAGGGCTGTGTTACTGTCAGGTCGCCCAAGCCTAGACAGGGGTAGTCCGAGACACAGTGTCAACTTTGAACCACGGACTTTCTGGGCTCTGACCACTGAGCCCTCTCGCTCCATATGCGACTGAATGTTCTGAATCATTGAATGCTAAACAAATCAGGCGACAAGTAAGTGCATTTATCATCCAGCGTACTTAAAATTAGGTTTTATTAAATTAGCATCCATATTAGAAGTAATGAGTTTCCCGTGCCCTATTCCCTGTCTCTCCTGATTTTCTGTTACTTTTTCACTGCCAACCTTATCAGCTATCCTTGAGGATATCCTTGTAGACTGTGGGACTCACGAATTGTTATCCTCAGCTCACAGGGGATGTCACCTCGCTTCGTGCAACTTCTCAAATCACACTGCTGATCAGTCGCTTGTGGATGGACAGATTAGTGTTAAACTACTGGCTGGCAGGTGGTGGATTCGGAACACCCCGGATTTACGTCTGATGCTTGGTGTTGTTGTTTCCCAATGAGCACGAAACAGCCGTACAGTGCCTCTCAACTTTCAGCTTCACTTACAGCACGAAACGTCACAATAATGACCTCTCAAGTATTTACTTACTCACCGGCGATTCAGAGTTCGCGGCCCATTGCATGACCTCCCCCGTTAACGAATATCTTCCATAAAAAGACATTAACCTGACTAATCCCTCTGATGTCCTGATATGAAGTTGGGACAGTTGAACAAGTAGAAAATTTTTGCGAACTTGTGACAACGCCGTGCAAAACGTAGATAATTTTCGCTTCCTAGTTGGGTTTGTTTAGATTCACATTGTGTAATTCTTGCGTCCGAAATTCACACAAGTATTCATTAGGCAACCATGTGCTGATTTGTCAACTTCTCATATGCTCAAAAACGTCAGTTCTACGTCTCTCCGCCGGACGACTCATCAAACCGGTATTGTTGGCTTAAGGACACCGTAGGACAAATAGACAAGCACTGTCACACAATCATTCCTCTCGGTACCTTCAGTTGCCCGTTTAGCCAACGTCGTTCACAACAGAGGCCAGGTATGTTTTACGGGGAGAATTCGCAAAGAAGGTCTTTAGATAATGTTTTAGGTGTTCCTAGGTTGATTACAGAGAGACTGTCATTAGGAACTTTTGACTGTGGATCTAAATAAACAGGCAACGACAGCAAGTGGACATTGGCATCAGGAAACATAAGGCGAAACCAGAACTATGACAAGATGTCTATCGGCAATTAGACAGTATACCACTGAGCAGATAGTCGGGATGTGGAAATCCAGTATGAGAGATTGTAGTACTGTAGTTATGTGTGCACCTATTTATGATGCTGTCGCTTTCGGAATGAAATGTCGGCTTTTCTGAAAGTGTACACCCACAGTCAGGGCTATCAAAGAACGCAGGGGCTGCATTTGCGTGAGAAGTGCAATCCACATGAGCTAGACGTGTTCCGTAAAAAAATAACCCCTGCCATTCAAAAAAGATTAGAAAAAAGAAAATATGAAATTCTTTTTTTTTCTTAAGGAAACTACTCACGAGGTTGCTGAAAACTCTTCGACATCAACCTTGTGGGTAGTTTCCTTTATGAAAATATACTGCGATATCTCGAATATCGTGCCAACTGAATCATGAGGCGGCTTGTGTGCAGCACATTCAGTTGTAGAATATCATAAACGAGAGATTCAGTTGAGTCACTCGTGAAAACCACATTGATTTGCAAATGAGTGTATTTCTCAGAATTTGTTTTTACTGAAGAGGGTGAAATTGGGACATGTCATTAATAATAAGTTGCATGAAAAGGTCTGTCTGTCAGAAACAGTTGAAGGTGCCATTTGGTGTCCAGTGTTGCATAAACGTCGCTGATAGATCACTCCGTGGCATCGCAAAACACGTATTGCCGTCTCCTTGTCATGAACGAGGACTGAAAGCGTCAGAAAGTTCATTTAAGGTTTTACGTCTGAACGGAGAACATTTTTGCACAAAATGAGCTTAGATGCGGATAAGGAATTGGTTTCATCAAAAATAAGTCAAGGTTGTGTGCGTACATTAAATTGGAGCCGGCAAAAAGTGGCGGGGCCTAACTTTTCGCACATGCCCTTTTTGCATTAGTGGCGGGGCTCATCTGGAAAAGACCAGCCTACATAAGGGTAGGGGGTCCCCAAACGTCCAACAATGTTTCAACCACCAAATTGCCATTCGTGTTTATGCAGTGGCTCGACAAATTTGAGACCAGCCTCAAACTACAGTCCACTTATCAGTTAGTAATCTTGTTGACATGATCAGGTTTACTTCGTTGCAATCAGAGGACTAACTGGATAAAGCCAAGCTTACACCTCCGCTCCGCCCTTTTCTTCTACTTTCTGATATAGAACATCATTTTCGTACGATGGAATCAATGTACGATATTAACTTTGTAAGCGTAAAAGATACAGGGGAAAGGGAAATATTACTGAACCTGCACCTGACCCCACTCTCCAAAGTTCCACATCTTCAAGGAATCACATTACGCGTTGAGCCTCAGGTAACGCCGTTCCAGACAGAACTACCCTTGGTAAATCAGACATCCCTGTTTCCCGAGAACCTTGTGAATGTAAGTTGGAACTTTTTATCGGATGCAAAATTGGTTCTCATTGTAATCCGTTTCTAAGTTCCCTCTTATCTGTGTTGAATCTAGCTCAACCTCATGATAACTCCCCATTCATTTGCTTACCCCGTCTATGCGATTTTGGTCTCCAATGGTTTTACTTATCTGCACCCGCCACTCACCTTGCCGCCAAGGAAGTCCCGTCCGACATTTGTGAAGGTACGTGAAGGTTCACAGCTGACCTACGTACCCATGCTCGTTTGTGTCCCGCCTCAGGAGCCTGCCTTGATTTGTTTGCTCATCAGTTCCGCGTGATCATATCGCGGATCAATGGGAACCACGAGACCGCCATCGGAAGGGATGATCACAACCAACACTAGTGGGCCAACATTCCGCACACCAGCCTTCATAAGGGTAGGGGGTCCCCAAACGTCCAAGAATGTTTCAGCCACCAAATTGCTATTCGTGTTTATGCAGTGGCTCGACAAATTTGAGACCAGCCTCAAACTACAGTCCACTTATCAGTTAGTAATCTTGTTGACATGATCAGGTTTACTTCGTTGCAATCAGAGGACTAACTGGATAAAGCCAAGCTTACACCTCCGCTCCGCCCTTTTCTTCTACTTTCTGATATAGAACATCATTTTCGTACGATGGAATCAATGTACGATATTAACTTTGTAAGCGTAAAAGATACAGGGGAAAGGGAAATATTACTGAACCTGCACCTGACCCCACTCTCCAAAGTTCCACATCTTCAAGGAATCACGTTACGCGTTGAGCCTCAGGTAACGCCGTTCCAGACAGAACTACCCTTGGTAAATCAAACATCCCTGTTTCCCGAGAACCTTGTAAATGTAAGTTGGAACTTTTTATCGGATGCAAAATTGGTTCTCATTGTAATCCGTTTCTAAGTTCCCTCTTATCTGTGTTGAATCTAGCTCAACCTCATGATAACTCCCCATTCATTTGCTTACCCCGTCTATGCGATTTTGGTCTCCAATGCTTTTACTTATCTGCACCCGCCACTCACCTTGCTGTGTGTTAGCATGTGTGTGTGTGTGTGTGTGTGTGTGTGTGTGTGAATTTGCGCCACTCATTCATGTGCTCTCGTGTCCTGCTTGCTGAGCTCGTCGTGACTTGTTTTCTCATGGGTTCGGTGTGATCGCACCCCCAATGAGACTGTCGTCGGAAGGGACGAACGCAACCCACATACCGAGTCAACATTTGACTCACCGTTGTTTAGTGTGCGGACGTTGACACTGCATTTCGTCAGTCTGTGACAGACATGTGCACACATGTTGAAGCTGCGAACGTGGACAATTGAGGTTTGTTGTCTGCTAACCCTTGTGCGGATAGTACCTCAGCATTTCGAACCCAATTCTTCCTGTGATATTCGGGATTATCGAACGAACGCATCACCCATGGTTCCGTATCGAGAACCTGAACAATCTGTCTGTGATTTGGGAATGTCCAGCAAACCCATACAATTCCATGGTCTTGACAATGAAGTGATGCACCCCGTTGAATGGTCCTAAATGTTAATTATATTTTTAAACGTTGACTTCGTTTTTCAGTCGAAATATATCTATCGAAAACACCTCACGAATTTGATACGGCGATTCGGAATCGGCATGTCGCCGGGTGGAATATCATCCCTCTCCCATGTTGGTAGTATGAAAAGAATGGGAAGCTTTCAGTTAGCCGCTTATGCCCGAACGATTAAATGCTCAAACTACCAACCGGAAAGTCCGGCAGTCGAGGCTATCTAGATTTTCGTGAGATACGCACTGCTGACGTTCCACAATAACGATGAAACAGCTGTAAAGTGTTTCTCGACATTTTAGTGTGTACAGGACGAAATCTCCATTAAAATTCCTCTCCCGTCTACCTAAGATTACCGTCAACCTAACAAGGTTACAGGGACACCAGTCTGACAGCGTGCAACTGAGATAAATTGATATAATTGCGGTTGATTCTTGAGGCGACTTATCGGCTGGGGCGCGAAGGGAATGCTTTCTCTTCTGAGCGGACTACCAATGTTTTGTACCAAGAGTGGCCTTGAGTTTCAACTATGCATTTTGTTCTAATATCCCACTCTACCTGAAAATCATCGAGAATCAGTATTTTTCGAACCCGTAAGGAAAGCCAGGCCCGAATGCATGGAGTTGAAAGCTTTATTACGCCCATGAGTCTGAAAATAACATATACTTTCTGGTCATCACTTAGAAAAAACAAGGGTTAGATCGAACCGGTCTGTACGACAATGTTTACCGTATTCGTATAGGACCGTCGTACTTTAGTGGCATGGGGCGAAAGCTTAACATGGCTGTGTATTCGTAATGTGCTACTCATAAGGTTGCTGAAATTCTTCGACATCCCACGACCCTTCTTAGAGTTCATCCGGTAGACTCAATCCCCGAGTTTCCGTAAACTTTATGTTCTACTTAAAATCGAATTGCACAAAATTAGCGAAATATACCCATTTGCAAACAAATTTGGTTTTGCGATAGACTCACCTGGAACTTTGGAAACATCACAAACAAAAGACTCAGTTGGGTTCAAGGTGAGTCGCAAAACCCAAATTTGTTGCAAATGAGGGTATTCCGTTAACATAGCTGTAACAACTAACCCTTAGTGGGAGGAAACACAATAGGCATTTTTTGATGACGAAACGTTTGCAAACCAATCACCAAACTCAGCGAACAGATTAAAAGCCACGTGATCAGCAACCACTGAACGTACCCGAACCACCAGACTTTTGATACGCAGTGCCGGCAGTCATGCTCGGGTCAGTTTCGACTCACCATGCATAGAATTCCCACGTGACCAGCCAACGTGACGTTATATGAGTAAACTTCTCCCAGCTGTTCACAAACTAGTGGCAATAGTCAGAATTAGACATTTCCATGGTTTATCACACCCAAAGTTGTACATCGTTTATTTCTTGAAATCGGTCAAATTTGTAATCGTGACGGAAAATTTGATAGGCTCACTATGCTGTTTCTAGCTATCGCCTGATTGTTGTTTATGCTCTGAAGGGGTTGTTCAGCCGGAATAAACTGTTGGTGTACTTTATCAAATCGTTAGTTTGTTTCCACACATTTGTTGCGCTTATACCCTTTCAAACTCTAGAACTGTATTCGTACACTTGGAAATATAATATGATAATATGATCGTCACCTGTCTGTGCAAGATTTAGGTAAATTTTCAAAATTCCCGGCGTCTTTGGCTGTCTCTGAATTCACTCGTTGAAAAGTCCTACCGCCGTTTATCAATCAACCCTAATCTCTTTCCACTGAGATGAAACATCTTTATGTTTCAGTCAAAGAGATTAGTTTTCTTTAAAAAAATATAGATCTTGCGGGTTTCACATACTTAGTGATATGACCGTCCCAGAAAACGTTTATTTACCCTGGTTTCTGTTTGTCGGTTGTGGAACAAACTTTATGGATGCAAGTTTGTAAACTGCATTTTTGTCTCTTCTGATCTACAGACTTGGGAGGTTAGGACATCCACCGGAAAAGGTCCTTGGGAAGTGCTTGTATGGCAGCAACCATCGGACAGTAACATGGAAGTGGTGGAATTTGTTGAGCAGAGCAATCTTGCCGACGTAAAATTCAGACTTGGACGATATGGTGTTGGATGCGTGGCCACACTGCCGTGTACGAATGTGCCACTTAGACCGGGGACACGTTATAGGTGAGTCCACTTGATATCTCTTACTTTAAAATTTGTAAGTGGTTAAAATTGAAGAAGCCCAATTGAAGAGCTTAAATAGAATCCCATCTGCTAATAAATGCGGTCGGTGTCTGGTAGTCACATGACTGACCCCCACACACACACACTTGGCTGGTAAGCCTCAAAAGAGACTAAACCCTTTTCCTGGCTGTGATTTTCAAAGTCCAGTCGTGTGTTTTTGATAAACAATTCCCTTTGATCAGTTGGATGGATCAACAGTCACTAGTGGTTGAAGGGTTAATTGTTCAAACTACTAGCCGATGGGTCGCAAGTGATTCAAATTCCCGGAGTTCCGTCAGATACGCACTGCTGGTGTTTCTAAATTGAAGCCGTACCGTGCTTCCCGTTTTTTAAGCATAGACTAATTTCACTAACGGGTAAAAGATCCGATCGAAGATCACCAAATTTCCTCAGACTGTTATCAACATACTCATCCACTTTAAATGTTTCAACATTCTTCACACTTATACATTTGGATTTCGTTCGTGGTTGTCTTGAATACCTTTGGTTACATATCAGGATATCAGTATTTTGGCCGGGACCCCAACCAATGATGGATGCGAGATAATGGACTAAATTTCAGTTGACTCGTCTTTATATACTGATAATTGAGTCATCCTAATTCATATGTGGATTTATATATCCAAAGAACCGTCCGTGCTATCTGAGATGGTAGTGCAATATGATTGGGTAGCTGTTTCATTTGACCAAGTGACTGTTGTCTGATGACTTACAGTCCTGAAATATCTAAGTAAGCGTGTTTCTGCAAATAGATTTGGACGCCAAAGATTATGATAGTTCGATTAATACGGCAGTAAAGTCTCGGTTATGAATACCGATATTATGCTGTCGATGATGGTGATTAAATGATGATGAGGATGATGATGGCGATGACGTCGATGCTAGTGTTAAGCTAGCACGAAGTCCCTCCCCCGTCCACCTTTACTCTTTTCTTTACAATAAGGCTTTCAAATAAATCATGGTTGTACGGCAGTGAAGCATCGGTGTTGAACACTCATGTCATGCTGTCGATGATGACGATGACGGCGATTAAACAATATCACAGTTTTCAGGAAGTCCAAACAAACTGCATATTTCATCTGTCATTCACCAAGCCTCGGAATACTGCTTACAGTGGTCACATGGTTACCTGTTCGTTGGAAATATTGGGCCAGTTGGACACTCATTGTTTCGTCCAAGAGTTGAGTTGAACCGGTAAGAGGATGAGGCTAAAAGCTCCACACCAGGAATTTACATGGTTTGAGGCAATATACGGGAACTCTATTGCTAGTTTGCTTTCAAGAATGGTAGCCTATTCTGGACAGAATTCAGGGTTACATTAAGCTTGTAATACCGCATTCGAATGCAAACAGGCTAATGGTTAGTCTAAGTAACATCAGACCAAAACCTTATACCTAACTAGTGTATCCCCTCATAATTTTTAATCGGGTTTGTTCGCAGCATAGTTTTGGACTGAGTGCTCTACCCTGGTGGTGAAATTTCGGGGCACATCAGTACGTTCAGGAGCAAGTACAGAGAACTAAGTAAGAGCTAGTCCCACTACTGTTCAGCAACTCGTGGTCGACCCTTGTAGTGTTCAAACACTTGTCGAAATTCGTTGAGCTTAATCAAAAGCTCGCTGTTGATGATTTTAAATAGGACCGAAACAGCCGTACAGTGCTCCTCTGGTTTTCATCATAGACTAGCCTCACTGATGGGGTGAATTGACACTTCAGAATTAGAACAATCACGATGACACCCGCATCACCAGATACTCTGCATACACATCCGCGAAACGATCGTGAAAGGCTTGTTTTGTAGAGAACCTCTATTGATATGGCCATAGGAAAATAGAAAAAAGTTTAACGAACTGACACTCCAATTCGTGGAATTCATAGGTAAATCACAAAGTCTTTTGATTAGTCTACAAAGCATGTGTTTGTGATAAAATTCCACTACAAGTAAACATGTTATAAATTTCTGATCTTGGCAAATGTACACCACTGACCTCTGATCAGTAAGCCGACACGCCTGGAACTTTGATTATGAATGACAGCGAAGACCACACGTCACTCCATGGTTACCGGAGAGTTTTTCTGCATCGTCTTATTAAATAGTCACCTGAGTAGTAAAAATAATGTCTGTTTATAACTAAATAAACACAGCGAAAACTTCCGGGTATCTGTCTACTGTATCTATTGCATCTGTGAATCAAGTACTACTCACATCGCCACTTTTAACTGGCCTATACACTAATATGAAAAACGGTGCACTGTTTGGAGAACAACCTAACAATAAGACTCCAGATACCATCCTGGCCTCCTCAAGTGCAAACTCAGCGTCACCGAATGAAATATTTGTTATTCCCATCTTTCTCCTGTGGCATATGTTATGGGACACCAAACAGTAGGATTCGGGTGCCCCCTTGAAAAAGCAGCTAGTTAAAAGGTTCCCGAGTGTTGTATTCAGATTAGATTCCTTTCAACCCGAACTGGAAATGGGTTTGTAGCACTAACCATTCCGTTGTCTAACACTGATGTAAACGCTACTGTGACTTTTCATGGCCATGACGATGACATGAGGCTAGATACTAGTTAATCGCGCAATAAAACGCATGCGGACTTCATTTTGACTATAACCACTTTCACCACTTCCAATTACGGACAGCAACGCTGTAAAGTTCCTCCTGGGAAATACTCGTCAAGCACATGGTTCGCTGAGTTGTGGAGATTGCTTAAACTGCTTTTGAGTCTCTGTCAAAATCCTGAAAATCAAGCGAAACATTGCAACTGTTGCTTTGGAAAATAGATCTCAAAATAATTTTAATGGATGCCCTTCAGCTGAGCTGCCTTAGCTGTTCCCTAAGCGTTCACAGATTTCCACTCCACTGATTTGCACTAACCTACCCGTTTGTATTGTACTCATGACACATGAAGACTTTGGTCAAGTCCCGTAATTGCACAACCATACATCACTGAAAATGTAGAAGTCCTTTGTTTATCTTCTTATTGACTGAAAGTCAACTTCACATGCCAGTGATTCTCTTCAAACCAATTAGAAGTTTTCATTGAAAAAAACATAGCACATCTCCTCTTATTCGTGTGCGAATGATGCGAAACTATTTCTCGCATAGGTTGATAAGAAAAGATCATCGTTCAGGTGTAACACTCTTTCGGTTCGTAGTAGCCATGCCACCCGAAGACATGGATACTGGCAGGTTGTCCAAGTCTACAGAAAAGAAGTCGAAATGCAGAGGTCGGGTTCGAACCACGGACCTTCCGGTCAGTAAATTATCGCGCTAACTACTGGATCACCTCGTGGATGCTCCAGTGCTTGGACATTTCTTTTACTACCAGGCGCGCCTTGATAAAGTCTGCATCACACCATCGTCCTATTTATGAAACATTTCCCTTTTGGACCTCTTCCTTTCTTACTCTTTCAATCTCCAACAGTATCCAGTTGATCATGTACACAGCTATCGATGCGGCCGAGAGCATACAACGATTGGTGACTACGCATCAGGATAGTGAGTTCCCCAAGCAACGGTTTGTTTATTGTAAAAGTAAACTACTCTGGGTACAGCACAGTTTCTTGTCTCACATACGCACCCAGTTTCTCCCTGAACAATACTGCAGCCGGATAGCATGCAAAACAAGCCATAGGAGGCTTTTGACACTCATGTCGAAAATGTATACATTTGTTTTTTGACTTTATCTGATAGCAGTCAGGTATCTGATGTCCATTTGCATGTTGACTGTGAAGCAACGGCCCTCTAGTAATCTTCAAGAGTCATGTCATCACAGAAGGAAAGTGGCTAGGTTTTACTCTTTCACTTTGAAAAAATCAGTGGCTATTATCCAATGCGACCGAATTAGAAAATCCGGATCAAAGCGTTGCAAGCAGATGGCTCCAGCTGGACCATAATTAAACAAGTGAGCAGAAAACCCTTACATGAAAGGCAAAAACATAACTCAGTCGTTAGGATGTGAGGCTGGTTGCTGGAGGTCAGCTGGTTTATGATCGCTTTCATCTGGCGTTGGACAAATTGACAATACCTGACCCTTCGAAACTCATTCAGTTTTGCTCGGCAGAAAGGCGCCAATGAATTGGCACACTTAAGTATTTTATTAAACTTCATTTTACAATCCATCACGAGCAGGCCATCGATCGTTTCCACTATCCTCTCAGACTGCAGAGATCTTTGGTCTGATTCGCTCATTCAGATGGGTTACAGTTTTTGTGGAGTCAACATTATTGGTAAAAATTGGTGGAATTCCGTCGAGTGTCACTGGATTATTCCAAGAATTTCTTTGAAACATTTGCAATCAAAGTGCTATTTTTCAGGACTCGGAGTGTGAACTGGCAGTCTTCACTAGGAAAACTACTCACAAGTTTTCTGGAAATTCTGAGAAAGCCTTCAGAAACCTTGTGAGTAGTTTCCGTTATGAAAATATACTGCGATATCTTGAATATCGCATGATTCGCCCCTTTTTGAAGACATTCATTGGGGAAATATCAAAAATGAGAAATTCGACTGGGTTTCAGCTGGCTCTTCCATTGTAATCGAAGCGGTGTGCTATTGAGTGTCATTCACTCAACGAAAAGCATTTCGTTGAAAATAGGGAAGGTGATACAGGATATGGTACAGGAGAGCATGCGTGCCAAGCTGCTAAGTGCTAAGCAATACACAGCAACTAAAAAAAGGTATTACGTGCCCTTACATTGTCATACAGACAAACGTGTGAGCTGAACCTGAAACACATGCACAGACCAATTGTGTCGGTCGCAGTGAGAATCTGACGGTCATATTCATTTGCCAGGTCACCGGTGTCCTTGGACAACATCTGTACGACTGAATAATTTTTTTGCTGGAGGTAATCTATCAACTAGCAATAATTTAGGAGGATATCACAATCTTTTCTTTGATTTTTGGACCGTCGCTTGGCCCCTGTTCTTTAACGCATGTCACCGTTGCTCACCAGAAAGTTGAATTTTTTGAAGCATCTGGTTTGATTCGATGTTTTCTATCAACTGGCCAGTAAAATCATGAGAAACAAATATAGTCCCGACTACTTCTCCGTCGACACTCGAATTTGCTACAGTTCAGATAGTTCCCTAAATCAAATCAGAGAGCCTCATTTGAACTGTACTGTTTCGTTTCTTTAACTTGAACAGCTGAATTTAAGCACACTCACTGCTAATAATTTTGCTGCAAATGCAACTGTGTTGTTCGCAGATTGTCTTGTCTACAAAAAACACTGTTAGGTTGGTATTCAGGGAAATGAATTCAAGGTTTGAAGGCAGTATCGGAAATACAACAATGTTATGGCGTGCACTTCTGCTAATTGCGATACCTTCAACGGAAAGCTAAACTCACCAGGTTCTCATGTCTTGAAGTTCCAAGGCTTGATGGCAGAGGGCCGACACCAACCAATAGGAAAACTAATCACGTGAAATGGACGCTTGTTCACTGAGCGAACTAATTTATTATAAGCAAGTGCCGCATCTGAACGGTAGTTTCAGGCGCGTCATCTGCGCTCAGAACAATCTGAGGTTGACTCTGTTCTTACTGATTGACCGAATCGTTATGGACTCATTCAGATAAAGTAAACTGTCCTGTATTTTGTCTGTCATACTGTTTCGCTGAGAAAGATTGCATACAAAATGAATTCGTTCCATGAATTTCCTGTTTTCATTTCATCCTTCGAGTCGTTTAAGGAGTCACAATGTTTTAAACTCTTCCGACCGACTGATTGGTAGACGAACCAACTCGAGGCGTTAGTGGTGTGAACGTGTTTTATAACAAGTCACCACTGTTAGCGATCGAGTCCCAGACCGATCAGTGATTATGCATGCTTCTACCACGCTCTGAATACGGTAAAACGGGAGGGTTGGACTTACAATCCGTGGTTTGACCAACCGGATTCGGTAACCCGTGGAACGCTGTGTTTGGTTAGGATGATAAACTCAGTAAGATAGTGGATCATTGTACCGTCTTACTTTCAGGTGTATATCGGACAGAAAGGTATACCAAAGGTTGTCCACTTATCCTTTTTCCATTACTTTATTATTTGTTTGCAACCCATCAACCCAAGAATCACCACTGAAATACACTCAAGACTTCCGGTTTTGTCAGCTACAAACGTTCAAAACACTGAAATCGTTTCACCTTTGTTCTCAGTTGATTTTGCATGACCATTAATCAAACGGCCTATCAACCTTTCCATTTGGTGCTTAGGGAGTCTGGTAGTCGCCGTAATCTGCTATGTGGTTCTTACGTCAATAGGCGCGATAGCCTGTACGGCTACTCTCTACTTCACAAAGTATGATTTGAAAACTCTTGCAAGAATTCGAGAAGCAATCCTGGCCGCTGAGCTTCTTAGCAAAAAAACGTAAGTTCTTTACACTGGGTTGAATCAGTGGCCAGTATAAATCATTTCCATTGATTTTCTATGGAGGAAAATGTTGGTAGCTCAGGTAGGGTAGATGGTCGTTGGCTTGTTCACTGAGCTGGCAATTTGATTGCAAACGTTTCATCACCAGTCGAGGTGACATCATCAGTGCGTTATTGGGGAGCGTAGCGGTGGGTTGGTGGTTGTGCGTTGAGTAGTGTTACGTGTGTCTTAATATACCTGCTGCTAGCCGGGAACGACCTTTGACCGCGATTAGTTGTTCGGCCGATGATACCAACACTGAGCAATTCTACGGACTACCAAACGTGCACCAAGAAGGAACTCTACATAGACCAATCGTTTCACTTCCGGGAAACCCATCTTACGAACTAGCAAAAGACTTATGGAGAAGATTGAAACACCAGAATCAAACTGATGGTGTCTGATTGAGCAGTGACGAAATGCCTGCACGCCAGCTATCATATAAAGTGGACAGCACCCTCCTGATCGACAACTAGCAAAGAGCTAATTATACTGTTGAAGGATATCGGAGACAGGGCAAATTTATGAGGTCAGAGGCAGACAGTAACGAATTCGGCCGCGTCGCGTGGGTGGAATCAGTAGGCAGAGAAAGAGACGCTGTGAAACGATGTGGACACGATGGCAGGTTTGAAACAGGTGACGAACAATAGTGTCTAGGTCTGTCCAATGGGACTACGTCAAGCCGGCTCAAGTGCAAATGAAATAGTCACAAAATCCTAACTCCGAACAAGGCGACGGGCGAAACATCCCGACATCATTAGTCAGCTGAGATCTGTTGTCAAAATTGCAGCCTGGCTGCTGAGAATCAACGTTCGAAATTCTACCACATCAAACACAATATTGCGAGGACGTTTGACACTGATGCGCTTAGACCTAATCTGTACACAAAAACAGTAACCAGACGGTCCCCGCTGGGTTGCCTTTCGCAAACTGTGATTGAACGTCAGCTTCAGGTACAAATCTAAGTATAACTTATTCATTCCTAACTTACTCATTTTTAATCAGCTGTTCGCGACCAAAATGCAGAGTGATTAGGTAACAACCGAAAGTCCGCGGGATCTGTGGGGAAAACACGGCTGTTGAATCCCTATCAAAAATTTACTACACCTGGTTGGAAAAAGCAAACCTTAAACGCCCGGCAAAATGCCATGTTGAACGACCGTTCAGTACCAGAGTCAACCTGCTGGAAGTTATTCAAATTACGGAGTATACCATCTCCTAAAATGTTGGTTATAAGTGTGTGCCATCTAAACTGCCGATTACATTTGAACCAATCAGCGGACTGGGACTTTAGCTTGGAATTTTAATATGCAGCTCGCGTGAGCTTGTTCTTTTAACGAAAACCTGGGAGGTATCTTTAACTAATCTGAGAGAGATCACTCTCAAAATCAGTGGGCTGTGTTACTGATGCTGACCCACATGGTTAGTCTGGTGCACACCCTAGTGAGGTCGTACGAATACAGCGGTCTGTGTGGACCGCCCGCTATGCAGAATGCAAGTTTTGTGATGCCTGATTCGGTTGAGCATGTGGTTTTCCTTTGGCCGTATGACTGCGTTATGTATTTCACAGACACGGTTGTATGGTTATTATTGTGTATATTACTATGTATATATTGTTGTACTAAATTATATTATGTATAATACAGTGTATATAGAATATGCATAATATGTTTATAGTATACAGTATGTATTATCATTATGCATAGTTATCTGTTGATTCCTTTTTATATTACGTTCGCACGTAATGAAATTGGCTTGAAAGTGGTCCGCCAAAGGCAGAAGTTTTTACGACTACTTAGTTATAAACAGGCTGATATAAGAGACCAAACGAAAAACAAATCAAATTGGAATAAACTTGTCGGACATTAAAGCTCATTCATCCACTTTGTTATGCACTCCCCCATATGTGCTCCTAAGACAGCCCGGAATTCAGGTCAGCATAGTTAAGCGCATGTTTTTTTAACCAAAATGTTCACACTTGGTTTACACGTTTCCATTCTCCCTAAATGGTGAATCTACTCTGAACAATCTTCATTTTTTATGCATCCATTTATCAAATTAGCAATGACTCTTATCTTGATGACGACGTCGATTCGAGCTTCGTCGATCTGGCTGAGCTGCCAACCTACTTGGACAAGTGCCTTCGTCCGCACAGCGCAATTCTGACCAATCAGTTTCATGTGAGTGGAATTATACTGCGCTTCTCTGATACAGTTAGGGAAAGACAAACAGATGAGGTAACCAGTATTCATAGGTATTTTTCGCAAGTTATTCCCCGTGGTAATGATTCCGATCTGATGGAAAGTTCGGCTTGAATCTCGGAGGAATGCCACCGCGCGTTCCGAGTATAATTTGACCCAGAGAATTATCAGACGTCAAGTGAAAGCGGGCGTGCACGCTGACCACGAGGCCTGATCGACACGGAAGGCCCCAAGAATTTTTTCACTTTAATCATGCGACCGGCCCCGGGAAATCGTAAGGATAAAAGTGGTGTGAAAATCTTGAACGAAGAACGCCTGGACCACCGGGCCGTCGTCTCACGGTGGCCCGAGAAACACTAACAGCTTGCTAGATTCCAACCTGATGGGGATTGCAGTGACCAACACATTCCCCCCTTTCAGGTAATAGAATAGCATGAGTAGTATGAACAATACATACAAAAAATTGAGTATTTATGGATTTCCAATGCACATTAGACTTGCTTTTCTCCTTGACACAACTCCCCATCAAGGTATATCACGGAGGCTTGTAAACGCAATAAGTTCTTTGTATTCCTTGACTTCCGGACGTGTACGAGATTTCGACAAGCTCCCCAAATCTTTCGTACACAAAGCGGTGTCCGTCAGGGTTGCTCACTCTCTCCATTCTTCTTTAATTTCCTGATCAGTGGGATATTGGGATGAACGCTGGAAGGTCCTCAAAACCCCGGTGTTCAAATTGCTGCTGACAAAAGCTGTCGATATGGAATATACAGAGGACATCTTTCCGATCTTCAAACAGAAGGCGCAGATATTTTTGGGCAAAATAATCGAATTCCTCCCATCTTCTGACACGCACTTTGCATCCTGGACATGCAATCACTGAACACACAACTTACAATCCACCGAGAGGCACTGGAAATCGTTGGGCGTTCCACGTAAATTGTAACTTGTGTTAGTTCCGACTGTAGTGTGACAGATGAGGTCAATGCTCAAATCTGCAAAGCTCGGGGCGTGTTCGTTAACTTGAGACACCTATGGCGTCTGAATCTTACGGGAATCAGGCTACAATGTGGGCTGTTTTATTGTACGGCTGAGACTCGGCCTGTTTGAGCAGCGGAACTAAGACATCTTCAGGTGTTCGACAATAATTGTCTCAGGACCACAGCTCGTGTGAGTTGATGTCAGAGAACCCGCAGCGAGACAATAAGAAACCGAGTTTTTGATTGTGTAACGATAACCTCCATTGATGATGATCATCATCATCTGGGCAAGACATATTTCGTCAAGTGTCTCAAACACGTGTAAACTGTAAAGTGATAATGACCTTGCTGCTGGTTGACTTACTCAGTAAACTGGCTGATTCGTTACTGGCCGATTCTTGAGTTACACCGTGTAGTGAGTTATTCTTCATGTATTGTTGATTTCCACCGCTTCTATTAGTATGAATGTGGAAAAATTTTAATGCTTTAGCATTAATAATCCAGTGGCAAACCGTCCTCCATAATTGTCCGTAGTATTTGCATTTGGTTGCTAATTTCACAAGCTAGTAATGATGGTAGACGATATTTCACATCGTTTGTCCCCTTTTTTCAAGAGGTTTTGAACAACCATTTGAAGCCCAAATAAGACGTAATCCAAATAGCATTATCTGGATGAAGATATTTCATGCGATTTCGAGAGGTGTGTGTGTGTGTGTGTGTGAAACTTGAAGGATTTCGACCGAAACACTAACTGTGAACATATGTTTTGGACCTTTGCTTGCCCACCATAAATTTGAAGCATTATGCGGAGAAATTTCTAACAGTGCTTAAATATGACACTGCGAATTCCTTCTCGTTTGAAAAAATTGGTCTCGCGCTGCGTGGATTTCTTCAGTGGTTCAATCTTTTTGGTGGATCTTGATTGTTTTGAAACCTTCATTCGACTGACTTAGCTTTGCGTCTCTGTGACACCAAACGAGTAATAGCTCTTATCTGGTGAAATTGGTAATTCAAGGTCATTCAAGGTTTAATGATCTAAAAAGCAGTTAACTTTACAACGACCATAGGGTGAACGTATATACACAAAGGGACGCAAAAATATGCGTAATGCTTGCTGAGTATCACATGGAGTTAAACAGTTCCACATTCGGCTTGGACATAAGATATGCATCTAAATTGTTCTTGAAAATGGTTAAACTCGGCGAATGTACAACATTGGGAGGTAGGGAGGTCCAAATGAAACATACACGGACCGCAAAAATGTTCCGTCGACAGTTCACCCTCGAGTAAGGTACCGCGAGCGAAAAGTCATGCCTCCTGCCCGTTCGTGTTCGACGTCGGACAAAAAGGTCTTCCAGCGGATGATTAGGTGTCTTCAGTATATTATATGTTAGAATTAGGTCTCCCCTGATGCGCCGATAGTAGAAGTCAAATAGGTTGAGACTGGCAATCCTGTCTTCGTATGGTTTATTTTGCAATCCAATTACCAGCTTCGTGGCTCGATGATATATTCGCTGTAGAAGAATTATGTCTTTTTGAAACCATGGTGACCAAGCTTGTATAGCGTATTCCACGGTTGGTCGGGTGTAGGTATTGATTACTCGGGGCAGTGCCAGTCGAGTGAAACGACCAAAAATCCGTTTTAGGAGCGACAGGACTTGTGAGGTCCTCTTGTAGACGGCGGTGCATTGCAAGGAGTTTTTTAAACAGCTGCTGACCCGCACGCCCAGAGCTTTTTCTTCACTAGTCCAAAAAAGTGGTTGTGGACCCAACGTATAGTTAGTTATACGCAAAGGGCTTCCCTACATCGTGGTGCAGTTGGAATCAACATGTCATGTCATGGCAAGTCCACAACAACTGGCGAACTTGTTCACGCTTGGGCAATTTACTTGGTTCCTCCGACTACCCCATCGACGACCCAGTAACTGTCTTGGTTCCGTTGATCGATGGATAATTTTCGACTCACTGTAGGTTTTTTGCGCCAAGACAGGAGGATGACAGTTCAGACAAGAGTGATGTGAATCTGAACACAACCTGCCTCGCAAATCACCTACAACTAATCGTAAAAATCTATAGCCATGACTTTTCATGTGAATGAGGGACGATTTTTCCTGAACCTACCTTTAAACATACAGATTTGTATTGTCCTGCGTACTTGGTTTTACTTTCTGATATTCTCGTCTCTTAATCTACCTTTCCTCTTGCGCTTCCCAAAAGTCATTGCGAAATCGGGCCAGCCAACTCAAACAGAAGAAGGGACTAACGACAATCACGGCAACGAAGAGCAAAAACACTGTATTAAATCGGCAAATGGATGTACTACCGTGTAAGCTTTAGCATTGTTTCATTTCCAAATTCCCATTTAAAATGTTTAACCTGAAACGGCCAATTTAAAACCCAATTATTTTGAAGTTCTGCATGCTGAAAGTCTACCGAAATCGTACGTCAACGAAGATCAAGATCATCATGAGGGTCATGACTGAATTGAGCAAGCAGGGGTTTTTAGTAGTAAACCTGAAGGCGCCGAACATTGTTACCGTTTTTGCACTCATCCAGGCAGATCTCGGGTCGCCTTTTGCAGCATGTATCCTGTGCAATGAACTATTACGTCCTAGTGTTATCTCCTGTTTCTAGCCCCGTTGTTCAGCTCTGACTGTTCCGTACTCAATCAATTTGTGAAGACAATAAATTACAAAATATCTTTAGGGTCATATTGCATTCTCAGACTACGTGAACGGTTATTATTGCCATTTTATCGATCCAGTCGATAGATCCCGTTCAAAGCTGAAAATAGAGACTAAATTCTTTCGCGTGGCCAAAGAGAGAACTTTTCTGTACGTGCGAAAATTTTGAAGTGTCATTTGTTTTGCTTTTCAAAATGAGTATCAAGCGTACCATTTTGAGTATATTCTGATCGGGTTACTTTGAGGGCTGTTTCACGCTTTGACCACTTAGTGATCCATTTCTAAAGTACTTACCCTAAATTATTCCGGACATCCAAACAGGTTATATGAAAATCGATTTTGTCGAAAAATAGGAAAGCTGTAAAGGTAGACGTGCTGCTCAGACTAGCCGAATTTTGTAAATAGTGTTTTAACGCGCATCTTCACACTAGGTTATGCGCATATGGAGACGTGCGAGTCTGACCTGACTTTCATATTCAGACTGAACTTGGTATTGAGATATAAGGATTGAAGAGTTTCTGTACGTTCTGCACTGTTCTCATCCTTAACTAGTGAAATAATGTCCGAATACTTTTGGGCAACGGAACTTCTTTGTGATGTACTTGAAACATTTTCTCAACTTCTGTCTGAGAACTCGTCACCCGAGGAGCCGGTCTACTCCTGACCACGCGATGAGTTTTTATCGTTATTGAAGAATGAGTGGTGCTATGTTCTGTCTAAGCGAGAGGTAATCGCACTGCTGATCAGCCGGTCGTAACCAAGCGGTCAAGTATCGGAGGTTGGTGGTCTGATACTCTCTGAGTTTCGTGAGGTGTGCACTGCTGCTGATTTCCACCTAGGATAAAACAGCAGTACAGTGCTTCTGGGCTGTTTCACTTACAGGTTGAAATTTCCCCTGAGTATCTACCAATTTTTCCCACAATTATATTTGCATATAGTACTTTTAGCTTCAAGAGGTTACTCACTATTAACCCATTCTTCTATACATACCCGTGGTCGTAAAAGGTGTCCTTCAAACCTGACTCACGTCCTTCTGGCTTGACTTTTTCTAGAAGGTTCATGAATTTAATTTTCATCTCACGCGGAACATGATTCTAAAAGCGTATTTTGGAATGCCCACTTAGATTAAGCTCAAGCAAGACCAACTTGTTTAATTATGCGGGTGTAAAAGTCTCGGAATCATGACTACATAGGAAGCGGTGCAGGATGACAAGGAAATCGGTTGTTTCCCCAACTGCAAGTCCATGATACCGTCAAATCAGCCGCTTAGTGTAAATATTACGTACATTACTTTCCAGAGTTTACACCTTTGGACCAGTCACTTCAGTTGATGGGAAGCAAATCCACACAGGAAATCGACATCTATGAGCATGCATGGGCGTCAGATGAGATGATTGATTCATTGATTGATTGATTGATTGGCTGAGCACTCAATTCTTCAACGATATAATAAAGTGCAATTTCATTCAATGTGGAGATTTCCGGAGCTCCACTAGCTTAATCACACGTACCCGGAATCTTTTTGCGTCAACTATGGCGATGTCGGGAGAAAGTTTGCATTTGTTTTGATAAACGGTTGTACTGAGATGATTTTTACTCTTCTCAGTGGAACGGTTCGACACTACATAATTTTCTTGCAACATATTGGAACGAGGACGGCGGTTAACTGGAATGAAAACAGAATGTGCATATCTTGTATATCGTCAGACTGTCTCTTGGGAATGCAGACCACCGCGATTACCCATACAATAGGCCCACGTCGCTAATGCTTCTGCCGAACTTCTACAATGTCGGTGACGCAAAATGAGTCAACTGGCTGGAAAAGGTGGAGAAAGTGGCGGTCTAATGGAATTTTTACACGAAATTAATGTACTTCCATCCTAATCGTTTGTTTTGAGTCATTGCACATTGTCTGCATCTTTCTCCCTCTCTCAAAGTATGCTGTGTTGTCTCTTCGTGGTATCTCCAAAACGTCCTAGGCTCCAAATACACACCCTTCCGATATAAACATTCCGATGAAGTGCCAAAGATGGCCATACCTGTATGAAGTAATAGAGGGCGATAGATGTTGACGAGCCCAAGGTGTCAGAAAGAAGTTCTCTCTATCTGATGACCCCAAAGAAGAGGTATAGCGTCAGTTATCCTCTCGCATAGAAAAGATTCAGTATTTATAGACGTACACACAAGAGCAAGAAAATCTATTTAGCAGCCCAGTAAATCTATGAGGATACATGTGAAATTCATTCAGTCTGCTTGTGTTGTAAATTCTTCCGCTTAATATCCATACTGAACAAATGATTGTTTTGAATAACTGGACCCGCTATTAAGGTACCTCCTTTTTATCCGTTTCGATGATTCAACTGCCTATCGCCATTACTTCTTTTCGGCAGATGACCAAAATATTGCTACACTGGAAGGCGAGGTCGATGAAGAAGGGGTACGTCAAAATTCATCTTTGTTTTAAACCGACTTTCTTGTTTTTATCACAAGTGCATTCAACTAAAATTCGAGCTACATGCAATGCGAACCGTCTCAGTTTAGGTGGAGAGCAATCTACTCGAGTGGTTTATTTCAGGGTCAAAGATTCAGCTCCAATCACTTCTGACCTGAGAGGACAGGGAAGATCATTTTCTACTCAGAAGAGCCGCCATTCCAAGAGAGAAATTCTAGCCAACCCATCATTCCCATACATAACTATTTTGAGTAAAATACATACCGAACCTTCTCGTAAAGAATACTGCTATGTTTAGGTTTTTGCCTATCAAACGCGTCCAGAATAGGCACTGTTTTGATCAGAAATCAGTCGTTTTTTGGAAGGAAAAACTGTAAACTGAGCGGGTTTGCGAGGGCGTTATGTTTTTACAGTTATCTAGAGCTGTAACCTCAGGTTAATATTTAGTTTATGAGAAAAGTGTTACATCTTGGGTATTGGGTGCAATTCACTCAGACAAACACTGAGCAACACTATACTCTTGACTGATATGTCACCGCATCTTACCACCAAGCAAGATCTAGAGTTTTCTAAGTTTTTATTGATCGTCAAAACTTGTTTGGCTTGTATATGTGGACATAGTCATAGGGGCAATGACAGAAATCGCTTGATTTCAGGGTACTCCGTTTATTTTGATTCAATGACGGTGTTATCAACGCCCAATTGATTTGAGAAATGCGTGATATACAAAGACTATCAAAGATTTTCGGAGGAATTGCACGCCTTAACAGCCGAACAGAAACGCGCATACTCTCCAGGGAATATGCGATTATTGTCTGGGTGTACTAGTACATCGACTGATTGGCTGTTTGTTCGCTGAGTTGGACATTTAGCTTGCAAGCGTTTCACCTCTTTGTCAGTGGGCTGCTATGACGCAAAGCGGCAGGCTGCATTAGTGGAACAGCTACTGGTAAACAACGTTCGTTCCCCTACCCGTCTTCACGGCAAATTAGCTTAACTTTTTGAAGAAGTTCTGAATGCTTTTCTATTCGGAATGCTTCTTCCTTAGCAGATCTGTCCAGCATGGTCTCATGTTGCAGCACATCATCTTCTATAAAATTGTTCATTAGACTTTATAAGCGGCTTATCTTTCGATACACATAGAACAAAGATGTGAATTTAGTAACCTTACTCATTTCAGTAGGGATTCAAGCGTCCCAACGCTACTGGGAATTCCTGAAAGGCAGACCAACATAACTGGAGCAGCGAGTTCGTTGTCTTTTTGGTACAGTGAAACAAAACGTGCACACAGATCAGAATTGGGTCAACCACTCATTGTTGTGGTATGGACAACAAGTTTTCTTGTGCATATCAGGTGGTCACAATGCACAAACCGGAATAGTTCAAGTTGTGCAGTGATGATGACCACCTCTTACTTCGTTTGTGGGAGATGGTAACAAAACAGGGCAGTATTATCCAAACGAAAGGGTTGTGAAAGCGATATTCAGCACATTCCATAATCAACAAAGAGTGTCACAGACTATGATGCTTTGTGCTAGAAACTCCAACCCTCGTTTCTTTCTGGCAGATCACTTAACTATCTGGCGCTTTATCAATCTACCATGATTCTTTAATCAAAAAGATTATCTCGATAGATTCTGAGGATAAAACAACCTGCAAAGCCACAATGCCTTTTATTTGTCTCCTTGAATCATGGCAAAATCCTTTTTCAGACTGCTGTAAGGACCATCATCCACGTTGCAGATCCTTCAAGCTTTTAGTTGGCTATCTTGAGCTCGTCAAATGTACTTAGCTTGTTACTAGTCGGAGTGTTTAGCGGAGCTTTCTGTGCCGTACGTAAAGCCGATCTGCGCTAAAAAGCTGAGAAACACTATCAAACTTTTTCATCATCATTGAGCACGAAACTGGACCCGCAACCACCCGGCCATTACTTTGGACATCTAACGGAAGGATTCAACTATGGTATGGCAGGCTCAGTCCAGATAATCTCCAACAAGGATAAAAACTTTACAGTGATTCGCGGCTTTTCATCACAGACTGGATTCACTTACAGGACGAAATCACTCTCGTTCATTCTATCATTTTCGGACGGTTTGGCATCCTTGGTGTGCGTTTTATCGGGTTCCCATTTCTCCAGTCCAGTCATCTTTCTTCGGTCATTTTCACATTCTACTCGAATCCAGAATGCCAAATTCGGCCTAGTTGTACACTAGCTACTACAGCAAACACCAACAACACTAGGGAAGTTCGATGACGATTTTCGCGCTTAATTTTGGCTCCTTCTACAGTGCCTTCAAGCTATTATTTTCATCATTAATTATTGCTGTGCTCGTTCGGAATTCTTGTGCCACACCAGCAACAAATAACCCCCGATGACTGAATTTTTCCTTGAACTGACCCACATTTTTATCTGTTTCTCTATCGCAGGACACCAGATACATCAATGCCAGTTTAATTCAGGCAATACCACCGTTTGTTCGACGTCAGCAGATATCCTCAGTCGAACACGATCAGCCCGCCTATATTGCTACCCAAGCCCCATTGCCTGACACGATCGGAGATTTCTGGCGTCTTATCTATCAGGAAAATGTGACAGTCATCATAATGCTTGCACCGTAAGTAATAGTGGTTGGTGAAATTAGTGAACCGCGTTCATTCAAGTTTTGTAAGAGAACCAAGGTTTCAAAGAAAAGTGGATCCAACAACAAGAGTGTTGAAAGCTTGCCACAGAGAAGTAACTCTATTGCAGTGCCAAGAAAACACCACATCCACTTTTCCAGTAAGGATGTACATGAGAGTATCTAGCATAAACTTGGTGTTCTACCACCTAACAGGAAGTTTTCAGGCTCCGGAAGCAATGAAGTATCCTTTAACTAATTCTCAGCTGGCATCGTTTCGCACACAAATTCACCGCCAACTACTCTAAACCATTTAGCACATTCTACAAGCAAGACAGGACTACATGGACAAATCAACTCAAAAACCGCGAGTCTATAATCCAAAATCAGTTTTCGCGTCTTTAGCCTCGACTGTGAATGTTCACCTCAGTGCAGATGGATCTCCTTGTTACCATATTCTTGAACTGGATGTGCAGCACAACGGCCGCCTAATGTTAAATTAGGTATGTCGAATATCTTCTGGAGACAACACGCTACTCAGAAGTTGCTCATAAGTTGCCACCGCACAACTAGAGTGCATGGCCGACAGAACCTCGGGAAATGCTTGTACTTTATGAGCCCCAAGAAGGGCGAAAACAGCATTGCGCTGTCGACGGATTTTCAGCAACCTTATACATAGTTTTCCTCAATGGTATACTTTGTCCTAGCCCCAAGAGGGCGAAAACAGAATTGCGCTGTCGACGGATTTTCAGCAACCTTATACATAGTTTTCCTCAATGGTATACTTTGTCCTCAATTGCATACTTTCACCTCACCAGCTGAAAAGTGTTCCACTATGCTCAGGATCCGAAAACTATCGACCCTACTATGCGTAGATATATATATATATGTATATATACTATGAAGTCCTCAATAGAAAAATTAACTAGTTAACTTTGCCCCGGCTTAGCAATGACTAAGCAAGAACAGTTTTATGCGATTCCGTTTTTGCCACCATCGTTGAGCGTGAATTTCTCCGCAAAAAAATCCTCCACTTTTATTCACAGGCCTTTGAGTATCGGTACAAGGATTATCCAACATACTGAACGTCATTTGAATGATGCTCATCTGTCATCGCCCCGAAACGACTGTTCGCTTTAATCTACACAGAAAGCGGAAGCAGTTGGCTTGACATTTGTCCAAACTTGGGTTTCTTGGCGGTGCATACATTTGGCCGTGCCCAGATTAAATGAAAATGTATCCGATGTGTAATCAGATCGTGTTTCGCCTAATAACCTATTGGCGTACACTGGGCGCTCATAAATTATCAGACCCGAAGAAGGCAGTGCAGTGGTGACACGGGAGCCACACGTTTTAGATGTCCGGTGTTCCGATTTCAGCGCTCTAACGGATGCGAAACTGGCGTCCAGCCGTTCGCTATGGATGTGGACTTATCCATCTACCTTTTTTGAAAATCCAACGTGTGATGTGCTGTTACTCTGTCACTCTCAACTTTAAAACATGTTACTTCTGCCTGGGCCAAAACCTGTGGTGTTTTTAGCAGCAACTAAACAACACACGTCATAAGGGCTCATACGTACACAGTATATCATACCTCAGAATTTGGTTTGTGGACATCCTCAGCCTTGGCGACACCGACTATCATACCTAGAATTTGGTTTGTGGACATCCTCAGCCTTGGCGACACCGACCGGTCAGCAATCGTACTCGTACGAAAATAAGTGAAAAGAGGCCTATGGTGGGGTGACTTGAGAGCGGCACTGCAGGAGACGTTGGACCACTTCCACGGGCAAGGGGTAATATAAAATAATGTAGTGAATAGAGAACGCGGGACTCGCTCACTCAAACTTGGAGCCTATTTTCAAATACCTAGTGACCGTGACGTGACATTCACCAGAGTCTTGTAGTATGCTTACAGATATGTGTGAAGAATACTGCCAGAAAATATATTCTTACCTATGCAAACCATACGGTTCTTATCTGTCACATCCCAGTACTCTCCTGAACAACGGAAAGGAAATACATTCCTTCTCCTCTTTAGTCGTTTTCATTTGTATCGCTGATTTTCAAGGCACGGGCTCTTTTGTTGCTTACGTCTTCTCAAAAATCCAGGTCACTGGGAGAAAACCTACCAGATTTCGAAGTCTATTGGCCACCAACTGTTGACGAATGTCGCTATCACGCCTACGACACAAGCAGGCTTACGGTTACCCTGGTTGCGGAAACTGCTGAGTCCGGTTATATGCTACGGAAGTTCACAGTCACTTCGGTAAGTCCCTAGCCAGATGTCACTACGCATACAGTGAACATTGAAACACTAAACTAAATGAAATTACCTTTTGAGTCTGATAAAACAAACTTGAACGAGTGACACTCTAACTGGAACCACTGGGCTACATACACTTTAGAGAAATAGAAATCAAAGGAAGGGGGCTGGATGAGGGTCAGGTCAATGGGTTACGGAATCAGGTAAGTGGCATCAATGTCAGGCAGACTTGTGGGACCGGATGTTTCGTAGGCCAGTCCAAGTTCAGAGGTCGCACAAGTTTCTTTTGGGTGTAAAGTTGCGGATCCAGCAGTCGGATTCCAATCGCCTCTGCGATCGATAGTAGTCTGGATCGTACCAGTCCTGACAACGACCGGACGTCCCATGGTTTGAGCCTGACCGTAAACTGTCAGTTGTTCTTGCTTGCTCTTGAGAACCGCGTAGCAATTCGTACCTCATGCTTCGCTCTAGCTGCACAACATGTGTGCGTCAGAAGAGTGTCGTAACCTAACGATTACCGAATTTATATGTTTATTAAAATATAACAAAGGGTCTTTCTATGTTTGATGGTGACCCACATGGCTAACCATCCAAAGTGCATGTCACCCCACACCGTGTGAACCCCTCAACCACAGTCCCTCTTTGGAAGATAGAAACACTCATTTGATTAAAATAATTTCATACTATAGAATTCTCTCCTTGAACCAACAATCAAGGGCTTCTCTCAGTGCTATCTTGTCCATGTTCCCCATCCCCTCGCAGTAACTTTATTGAATCATGAATGTCAGGGTCACCAGCACTACGGTCTCCCAAACTGGTTAGCTGATGAGGTTGATGCACAGTTTAGACATGCTGGACTAGCATCCAAGGCAGGATGAAATGTTTTGATGATAACATCATAAGGACGAAGAAGGTAGCGAACAAAGCTTGTTTTCCGTGATTGTTCCTCTTGGCTAATACATTACAAATTTATATGGTACCAGAAATCACGTGAAAAAGGTTAAGATCGGGGCTACATACACTTTAGAGAAATAGAAATCAAAGGAGGGGGGGCTGGATGAGGGTCAGGTCAATGGGTCACGGAATCAGGTAAGTGACGTCAATGTCAGACAGACTTGTGGGACCGGATGTTTCGTAGGCCAGTTCAAGTTCAGCGGTCGGTGTAAAGTCACGGATCCAGCAGTCGGATTCCAATCGCCTCTGCGATCGATAGTAGTCTGGATCGTACCAGTCCTGACCGGTTCAGAGGTACCCGGTATATGATGGTGAAAGCTTGCTTCTTGTCTATGACATGACTGCTTTCGGTCAAATGTGATGCAATCGCGCTTGAGCCTGGTTTCTCCACACTACCACTCAGAGATACGGGACTGTGTTTTCGCATTCTGTCCGACAAATGCCTTGTCTTACGACCAATGTATGATGATCGGCACGAGCGTACAGATGAGTACGCACAAAAGCTGGTAGAGCTTGGAAATTTGTCCTTCAAGCGGAATTTGATAGTGGGGCTGGAGTTGAAGCTCAAACACAGATTAGTGGCCAACTTTGTCGTATCAACAGAGTTTCTAAGTCCTCTGGTGTTTAGTTCAGCAACCCAGTCACCTTTGAATGGTGAACGGCCTTCTTCCCAACAGAACGGCTTCCATAGTCTTGAGTACGAACCGTTCAGGATATCCGTTCTGCAGGAATGTGCGTCCTAAGCACTTTTGTTCCTCTTTTAAGCAATCAGGGGAGCATACCTTCATTGCTCTCTCAGTCAGGCATGTAATTAGGTTACACTTCTGTTTCAACGGAACAAAGCTGTCAAAGTGAATATACTGACCTTTCCACGTTTGCTTTCTGTGCACCTTGCGTTCTATGGTCCCGTCAGTCTTCTTTTTAACATTGACACCGAGGAGACTTAACTGTCCGTTCTGTTCTGATTCGATATTCACCTTGATATTAGCATGGACGTATCCTTTAGAATGTCTACCTACATAATCAGCATATACGTACATCCAAACTACAATATTTTGTAGTCCTACAACTGATATTGTAATATTTCATGCACGTTACACAAGGAGTATAGCACTGTTATGTTGCTAGATTAACCAAATTTCGGTACTTACCGGAATCACGAAACCTTTCTGAACGAATGACGACAAATGTCTTACTTTTTGAATCGTTTCCCGCCTTCCAACCAGATCATTCCGTGGTTGTATAACAACTGACGATTGTCTGTTACAGAGACAGCTGATTCTTAAAAGTCCGACTGTGAAAAAGGTGTGTTCGGGATCGAACGGATCTACGCCGTAGACAATTGAAGATTCGCCAACGATGGCAAGGACATTTACATACATACTTCACCAGAATAGGAAGCAATGCCGCAAAAAACATGCTTTTCAGTGGAGATCGCCGATCAAAAGAAGCCTAGTGAATAATGAGTGGCACTTTGCAAAACCAAATGCTTAAATAAAAAATTTATGGGGTCCAACGAGCAGTTATGTGTCACAATTCTGTTTGAGTAAAACTGCATTGACCGGGAACAAGGGTTTCGCATACCTAGTGGTAACATTAGTCCCATGGTCATTACTATCTGGCCTCACAGAAGCCATCCAGACCTGAGGACTGTTCACCGCAACTTTCGGCGAATAACTTGCCGCCAAAACGTCAAACCTCTTGACGCTTGCCTTTGCTGTGTGGCAGACGGCATGCACACATGTTGTATGTGGTGTAAACAAGCGTGTAGAAGCGCGTGGTCATAAGCTGTATTGTCGAAAATTCGCTGATTATCCGGTGATCCGGCAATCCGAGAGAATTATTCACTAGTAGGAAAAACTAAGTTCCCTGAACTTGAAGAGCATGAGCAGTGTAATGCTACAGTTTTTCAGGTGTTTAAATCAATTGTTAATTTTGGATGATATTAACTCAGGATCAAAACTGTGCGCACATAGTGGCAATGTTGTGTACATACTCTCCCGTTGAGCCTCCCTTAGAAGGCGTGCTGAACACACTTAGGTCAACACATTCGGCTCGGCTTTTCGTGAAGTCTACAGGGCAAGAAATCTACAAGATTACTTGAACGCACCGGAACCTTCCGCGAGCTCGATACAACCTTGATACCTCTTGATAGACATCTTTTGAATGATTGCAAGAAAGTGGATGCAAGCAAAATCGTGGCATTCGATGTGTGTTTCTCTTGACCAGGAGTAATTGAATGCAGGTAGTTCTCTTCAAGGTAATTTTCTAGTTCATAATGCCGTGTGCTTCCCTAAAGTGAAAAGTTGACCTTTTTACCTTGTCCTTCAAGGTGAATGGAAGTCCTTTTTTGCTGACTTATTTGACCCTTTTTTCAGCTCCATGTAGGTTTCTTCTCTATTGCAATCACTTGACATGGCTAATGAACTTTAGCAAGCTTGCTAACACAATCCTGGTATAGTAAAAGTGGAACAGGTGACATGGTTATTCATATGTTGATTCAAAATACAACATTTATTGGGACCACACTTTTAACTTGCGGTTGCCCTACTCTCCAGTGAACACAGAAGTAAGTATAGATGTAATACACTATCATAGCGTTGCTTAAAACTCTTTGACACCACATGACCGGTTTCGCCCTCCTCATGCCTTATCAGGTGAGCACAGTCCCCGAGTTTACGTCGGCCTTATGACATGATGGAATCCAAATTGCACGAAATTAGCGAATACATACCTTTGCATACGAATTTGTTTTTGACGGGAGACTCCCAGCTATATCTCTCGCTTATTATGTTCCAAGTATGCCTCCGGTCGAAGCCAAATTGGCATGCAACTGAGTGTAGCTTGCTAAAGGAGGAAGTATTTTCTTTAAGCTGACAAAGCTTCCAGTTCTGTTTTTACTGTCGTTTCCAGCTGCACATCCATTTATATATCTATCTACTTATCAGTCAGGCTACCTATCACTCAAACTATTTATGAGCTGTTATCTTCGTCACAAATTTATATGACTATAAGCCGGATTCTTTCTTTTATCATCCTACGTAGTTGGACGAGAGTGAAGACCCGCTAGAGGTTACTCAGTTCCAGCTACTCAACTGGCCAGAACATGGACTGCCCAATATACAAGAATTTAGTGGGATGCTGACCGCCTATCGAAGATTTAAGTATTCCGAAACTGACCAGGATGCTCCAACACTTGTTCACTGCAGGTAACACATAGTCTGCGTGTCATATTTACTCCACAGTCCAAATGAGAGACCAGTGAATCGCTTTTGAACATATAGTTTGCCTCGGAACACAAACCATGTTACCGAAACAGTGGAATCAGAATTACACACGAGATGTTTTAGACTTAAATCGTTGTGGGCAAGTTGATGGTGGATAAGTACTTCTGGTGTCTTTTGGCAGCTAAAGAAAAGTCAAAGAAGAGTCACCAATCTGTGCGTAAACAGAGTTCAGTCGGGCTCAGAGTTGTTGACGTGGCTTTGGTTTGACAGAATGCAAAGTTCAATCACCTATCATGTATCCGTTTAACACGCTGTGTGCGTAAACAGAGTTCAGTCGTGCTCAGAGTTGTTGACGTGGCGTTGGTTTGACAGAATGCAAAGTCCAATCACCTATCATGTATCCGTTTAACACGGAATGACATGAAGGGAACTAAACAAAGACCAGTTTTTTGGAGAAAGCTATAGAAAACTAAATCTCTGCTTAGCGCTAACCAATGAATGACGAAAGTTATAACGCCAGACGACGTAATAGAATATAACATGGGTGTCAGCCCTGGCAGCGGTTTGATGCGTTCTGCAAAGCATTTCCTGTTTCTACTCATTTTCCCTCGAGGCCTAGGTGCGAGCTCGGGTTGGAATAAGGATAAAGGCATTCTTCAAACTCTAAGGAACCATCGGCCGAAACTTCGTCTTTTTAAAAAAGTCATCTCAGCTAAGAATGTTTAATAGAAGCACTGTGTTGAAGCGGAGGCTCAACAACTGTTGGATTTACGACATCTCGTGAAGGTCAATGGCAAGGGTTTTAAATCGGAAGTAGCTACACGTCATGCTTTCCATAAGTGTAATTTGTCTTACAAAATCGATTTGGCGGTACTACTCACGTGACCCTATGTGTTACTAGACGCTGTATAGTGGACGGAAACAAGTGCTATCATAGTGCAATGGTGAAGTGAATCCAGTTGCAGGCTTTGATGTTTGCGTCAGACGATCGACAAATTTTACTGTGATCACCTACTGAGTTGAATATGAGTTTGGAGAAATATCACCTTAAAGCTGGAGTGGCCAGACAGTCCATGAAGTTTTTCAACTACACATGAGGTTTTTTTGGTAATACTGGCCAACAAGTGCAGTTCGCCAACTTTTTAGAACGAGGTGAGTTCAATTTGTTTCCTGATTGTTTAAACCAGTAGGTTAGTCCGTGCGTCACAAGACACTGAGTTTTTCACACCGAAATACCTTTCAGACACAGTCCCGGTCTGGCCCATCGTTGTAAAAATCTGTATCTTGCGAGAACTCCATGATACAACAGTTTTTATACTGCTTCGTCTGAATACCAGTAGACTGCAGTATCAGTGTGAATCGTTGGCCAAAAAGGCAATTACGCAATTCATTTTGCAGAAAATAGTACTTAAATTTACTGCCAACCACAGCACGATGTCGGGCAGAAGATAACTTTGAGAAGAACTTGTGAGAACCACTTGCAGTGTGCCAACAATGCTTCCGACTTTTTTCTCATTGAATCTTTATCACACGCAATACAACATCGTCCCATATGCTGGAAATTTATTTGGACCTGAAAACGTTCGATTGGAGAAACGATTCTTTCGTTTTGAGTTAGGTTATACCAAACAGACTGACATACTAATTGTTCGCCGACCTAGGCCGCTAAGTTGTGGGAAAATTCTATGGTTAATTTATCCCTCAATCCGTTAAAAAAATCCGTGTCACACAGTTTTGCAAGATAAAACTGCACTGCTAACCGAAATGCTTTTCAGTTCATTTGAAATGCTAGATTTGAGTAAGTGGCATGAACGAAACGATATGCCAAAAAACCGTCTCTCGTGTAATGTGCGGTTTGTAAGGTTTTTTAGGTAACAATTTCTGATTCAAACGTCCATTAGTTATCTTCCTTCTGTATTCGACTGCCCTCGAACCTTTTCATTGTACAGTCTGTGAATACCCTGTAATATATACTTGTCTGCTTAGAAGATATCTCGAGAATTTTAATTTTTTATAATTTCGCTATCCACTATGCACTAAAAACAACAGACAGATTTTCCGACTAGTTTCTAACGGATTTAGTCTAAAGTAGAGGTCTCTTCAATGACGGTCCTCTAATTAAAGGCCGATTGAAGAAACTGTTATCATCTAAAGATACTCCAGTCCCTTTGCATTCTGAGGTCAAGTGACACCACTTAGCCTTTCTATGGATCACTGCTTAAGAACCGAAGTACTGTTGGAAGAAGTGCGATCGTTCGACACCGTCCAAGACATCCATCCGTGTGCACATGTGGAATAAACTGATGTGCTTTGATACTGACTGCTCCCAGTGACTCCATTTACTAGTTCACCAAACATGGGTGGATAGAAACATCTAATTAGTCATTCTAGAAAAACACTCACCCGTGGAAAAGGGGCTGCTCGTCTTCAGCTAAAAGGACCGTGCCAAATAGACGTTTATCGAATCGGATTTAAGTCTCTTTATGAGACCTCATACGTGCTGTTTTAAAACGTTGTTCAGTTGCATCCAATATGTGCTGGGAGCGCAGTAGATCATTTTTCTGATAAAACTCCAATTGCTCAAACGTGGAGTGCTATCCGGTTTGGAGAAGGATGAACCAGCTTTTCTGAGGAGTGTTTTGTTTTGGTGTCCGTTTGTACATGAACACGTCACTCCCCCATCATGTTTTCAATCCATGTGTTTTAGTAATGGTGCCGGACGTACGGGTGCATTTATTGCCGCCGACACTCTGATGGATCACTTAGAAGAAAGTGCCGAATCCATTGACCTCGCCAGTATTGTTACGGAGTTGCGTGGCATGCGAATGAATATGGTGCAAAAGAATGTAAGTCATTCGTGTGTGGCAAATCTATCGCGTTTCAGTTGTTTCTCGTAAGCTTTCCTAGGAGTTAATATCCCGAAATATTTTGTCGGCAGTTGAGTATGCACTTTGCAGCGTGTGCATACTTTGACGCCGCAACCATTGATGGGGCGAACTGACAAAATTCGGCAAAAAATACGAGGTTTTGTGAATACGGTCAAGCAGAGCGGACAAACTAGCAATTATTGCTGTCTATACGAGGTTTGTGAATACGGTCAAGCAGAGCGGACAAACCAGCAATTATTGCTGTCTAAAAGTAACACACTACTCATATGTTTTCTAAGAACTTTTCGACAGCCCATGACTAGCTTCAAGGATAGTCGTAAACCGGGATTCAGCTAAATTCAGCTAACTCTCCTCGAATTCGTGTGCAAATGAGAGTTCGAATTCCACCTCACATTTCAGTAGACTTTCGTAAACTTCAACCGCTAGTGACAAACACAAAGAATGAGTTTTGTTCACTTCATCTCGATCCGCGATAGGTCTGCAATGGATTCTCAGAAAGCTGTTGAGATCTTCTGAACACTCAGAAGAAGGTATTCGTTCCAAGCCTTACCCAATAGATTTTCGGTCTCCATCAACCATCGTTGGACTTAGCCATATTCGCTGATTTAGTATGTAGGAGGTAGGAGGTGTTTCATTAGTGTACAAAGTGTGCCCGTGCGTAATATTACGTTTTTAACCAGGTACATAGGACCTGCCCGGATGCCGTTCCGAATTAACCTTGTTGCCTTTAGTTCGGCCAGCAGCTTGCATCAGGCCACCAGTATTTTGAGTGCCTCAAGTGTTTATCTGCATTGCTAACTACAACAAATGGAGCATTCTGACTGTATGACCTTAGTTTGCTTTGACCTTCAACTGTACGCTGTGACTTGAGATGACTGTTCAGCAGATTTTGAACCAGATTCGGACAGTTATACTATCACAGTTATACTATCACTCCCGATGAATGTTGCATCCCACCATGAGTTTGCTCTCACCTCCCTCGTGGAAATCTTGTTCCTCCACTTGGTCGCAACTTCAGCTCCCATATCGTATGTGAGGTACTCGCCCTGTGATCTTATCTCTACTGCCCTCCCCAAGTTAGTTTTCAGTGGCGTTTTATGCCCGTACTTCACCTCCTTCTGGGCATTGATCTTAATACCTCGTCAGATCTGAACTCCTCAGCTCTGTAACGTACATATTATTCAGCGGTTTAGGATGAACAGCTTCCGTCATAGTGAGTAGTGCCATACAAGTTCGGATGGAATGTGTTCAGTGTATGCATATATGTATTTCTGTACCGTTCCAATAGTTTGAGATATAGGTCTTGTCCTGATTCGCGAGCCGGAGTCATGATACACTTGGCTATTTTAACCGTTGCCTGTTTCTCATCATTCTACAATAACAGCCTACCAATGTGATACTCAAACATCCCTACTTTCTGCTGAATTTTTGAAATACCTCATTTGTTAGCTGCGGTTTAGTTGTGGATACCGTACCTAAAGAAATTTAAGCGCATCTGATTGGCCGTTGCGTTGGCAGTTGTCAGTGTCTCAGCTTCAGAGTAGACACTATAGTAGGCTACTATAACAAAGTACTGTTTCTGAGCATGCACACATCGCCCTCCCTGAAACTGTTTGCTGGGGTTTAGTTTGGACCTCGAATAGAATCACAGCCTTCTTTGACTGCCTGAGGCCATGTGCTTGACACAACTCACACCTCTTTTATCCACATGTATGCACTGTGTGTATATGTGTATGAATGTACGTATCCACAAGTATTAGGCACATATAGGTATGAATTCAACGTCTACGTTACCTTTGGTAGAATATCAATAACTCTCCAACGATATATATATATACATAATTCACCTCTATACGGTGTAATTGCCTAGTTAACCTACTGACACAAGAACTCCGTATCGTTGGAGCTCCGCCACTAAAACTTTAGACCTTCGAAACAACTGAACAACGAAAATTGTGTCAGTTGACAGGTCTCGCCTCACACCATCAAGTAAATATTTGAATAGTGCACGTTGATGTTTCAGCTTCATCCAAGTCATTCTTAATTACGAACGTTCCAATTCCTTCCACCCATAGGTTCAGTACGTGTTCTTGCACATGTTCGCCAAAACACAACTGGCGTAATTTCAGAAAAAGTAAGTATTTTTGCCGGTAAAACCAATCAAATCAGAAATTCAAATTCAATCGATGTGAACTGGACGGGTGGATTCATTCATTGTTTTTTTTAAGTATATGTGGAAAGGAAGAGATTGCTTGCGTTTCCACTTAACCCCCGCCCAGTTATACTCACAAAATGCTTATGAGTCTTCGGACAACACACGACCGTGATTCACCTACGCACCATTATCAACATTAAAAATACTAAAACAAGCCAGTATCTCAGGGCAGTTTGTGAGAGACCACGCTACAGCATGGTACTGATGTGCCTTGTATTTGATTGACTACTTCATATCACAACATACTCAAAGTTTGACGAAAAACTACCTTGTTTTAACGGAGGTTTCTTCATTCTAATCGGAATAGTCTATGCTGAAAAACCTAGAAGCAATGTGAAACTGTTTCAACCTAAATTGTGTATCGTCAGTGGTGATAATCTTCACAATGGTCAGAGCGATTCAAACCCACAAATGGTATCTGAAAACTGAACCGTTCGTCCACGACCCGGCGCACACTGTTCGTAATCGTCAATGAGGATGGAACAGTTGTACTGTGTTCCTTGGATTTTCCGCATAGACTGGCTTCACCTGCAGAATGGAAACTTGCTTGAGATTGTCAGCGATTCTAATGCAAGTGACAACTTACGGATTTGTTTGTATAAGTTTGAACATATTAGTTCAATCGACAGGCCGAGTAGACCGTATGAAGCGAACACCGGATAACTACGGACACGTAATACCCACTTTGTTCGCATGCAGTCTCTCTTCTGCGATTAAGTTATCCTCTATTTGCGATTACATTCCTCGGTTTAGTTATCCAACCCAATCCCACTTGTGCTGGTTTAGGAGATGGCCAACGTTCAGGTTGGACATTAACAGGTCACACATTGCTTGCATTTTTCAACAACCCGATTCTTCCATAGGTGTCCGTCTTCTATGGGCTTCCCTTCATTATAAACAAAATGTTTACTGCTTCACTTATGACGTCCTGCGGAATGTGTTCCATGTCTCATCTGGTGCACAGTAGGTACAAAATTTGTACCGTGATGTCGGTCCTCGGGCCTTGAGTATGTCTGTGAGCAAGCTGTCCTCTTACGTGCTCTATGATTTTGTAGCCCACCAATGCAGGAAGCAGGTCAACGAAATAAGTTTTCATTTTATCTACGAATAAGTGAACCATTTGGTTCAGCTGCGCATCTTGTGGCATTTAAATATTGTTGGAAAGTGGTGTTTTCAGGTTTTCAAAAGTTGACTAAGATTTTCCAAGGTTCTTGAAATTTCGACCCAAAATCGCCTCTGCACAACGATTAACAAACGTTTCGGAATAATTGCGTTGATCAGCAAACGAATGTGTCTCCTTGGTTTGTTTGGTATACCATCTTTTGCTTCTCGCAAATGCTTGGATGTTTTGGGTCTATGACTTTTAGTTTGATTTTTGTCCACTGTGTCAGTCGAATTTTGAGCTGTCTTGACAAATAGCAAACTCATCTATTGAAGCAAGGTGGATATTGGTGAACTCTTCTCACCAAGCGAGTCTCGTCTGTGTTCCTGCTCTAGTCAATGAAAGTTGATTGGATGTGCTTTCGGGCATACTTGGCACCTGATGGTAAGGCTGAATTTACGCTAGAGTTTCGAAAGTGTTTTGTGCAGTTCCTTTTTCCGTTCTTATTTGTCCGGGCACCCTCTCAACAGGGCAGTTCTCAGGGATAACGCACACTTTGGAATACATCCAAGCGTGATCCACGTTACCTTGAGCTGCATACCAGACATTTGTGATCTACCTGCTTTATGATGACGGAGCCGAATAAGTTCCCGCGCTCACTGTTTGGATGAGTCCACGTGGCAGGCGGTGCCCACGTCTCATTGAACTATGTAGTTATTAGTGGAAGTCCTAATGCAGTTAACTGTAGTTGTTCATCGGTCCGATTCCACCCGATGTCAGTATCCATAACTAGATTTCACGCCCTTGGCAATCCGGGCATTGAAAGCAGACAACAGAAATAGCCATCAGTTGAAGGAACCGCTCAAGATGATAGTTTGTATTAGAAATTCTTTTCCTCGCCCAACCATAGTGTTCTGGAGGCAAGGGGGTTTGGAACGCGCCGGACCTAGCAATGGACATCCTGATGTGGATGAACATAATCTGATTGATGCCGTTTGACCTATCCATTGTAAGTTGCTTCATGTGGGACGCGACTGGGACTTCAACGCCATTATCAAGTGTTGTGTTTTCCAATGCGGTGAAGACTGTGATCAGAAACAGTCCTGATTAGCTTGACTCGATCAACCATCCCTATTTTTTCTCAGTGCAGCAAGACCTATCTTATGGCATTCCAGTTCTTTCGGTAAAAGTGCATTTTGCTTTTCAGACACATCTCCTCTACACTTTTTCAATAGAATCCCCACATACCAAATCGTAGAAAGAGTCGACTAGTGCAAGTGGTAACCGGAGCTTTTTGGTCCCCTGAGCAATTGATCTCACGGCTTGATTTAAGGGGCCATGGAAAGCTGCTGAGCCGGAAGGCGCAGATAGTACGACATAAAGTTTAGGTTGTAATACCACGTTTTACAGCAGGTGCTATTTGAATAGAGCCAAACTCTATTTATCTGACGGGATTTTCGCCGTACTGTACTATGGGCTAGTGGGTATGGCCAGCCTTTTGCCGAGTAGCGCTTACTGTTTTTGGGGCCAACCTACTCTTAACTGTCTTTTCTTCGAAGAAGCCACACCGTCAAAATAACAAATTCTAGGGTATTTGTGCCAAACACCTGGGAGATTCGCAGCATGAACAAGGTGGATACG